CTCTTGCATGCAAGGCAAGCGCTCTACCACTGAGCCAACTTCCCAGCCTGGTAGAGGAACTTTCTAAGAAAGTACTAGAGATGAAGAATAAGTTTGTAGTGCAGCATTTGCTTTTCTTCTTTAGAGTGGTTGCAGGTAATTCATTTGGGGACCAAGAGAGTGATGACAGGTACCTGGAATACAGAGCTAAGCAAGGTAGTGCTTCTCTGCTCTCAGTGAGCATTCTGTCCAGGAAAAGACAGTGCAGATACATCACGTTGCTTAGACACAAATTGGGGAAAAGGAAAATAACAAGATATGACCAGAGTGAACAAGCAAGGCAAGGGCTTTAGGTTGGGTGTCCTCGAAGGGGTCTGAGAGTTAGTGATTTAAAGTGAGGTGGAAGGGTGAATACAAGGATGTTAGCTGGTTGGGTTGGATTGCTCTCACAAGCCCATGACATACAGTGGCTTGAATAACAGATGGTTGTCTTACTGTTCTGGATGTCTGAGATAAGGTGTGGACAGGATTGATTTCTTCTCAGGCCCCAATCCTTGATTTGTAGAAGGCTATCTTTAAACTCTGTCTCCTTGTAGTCTTCCCATTATGCCTCTGTCCTAATTCCTTCGTCTCTTAAGGGATTCAGCCATATTGTAGTAGGGCCCACCTGTGGCCCTCATTTTACTTTTATTTTCTCTTTAAAGATACCATCTTTAAATTTATATGCTCACAGTCTTAGGTACCAGGAGTTAGGACTTCAAGTTCAGGGGACAAACTTCAGTCCACAACATCAGATGAGAAGTGAGCTGAAGAATCTTCAAGGTCTGCTCATGGCATGGTTGGGAGGCCTCCTGGCCTGGAAGCTGCTGCTGAGGTCAAGGGAGGGGTCCCAAAGGAAGCACTAGATATGAGTGGGAGGGGCCGGATCAAATTGGCCTGGAGAGTTTGAGATTTAGATTTGTCCTTAAGGATACAGAGGAACTAAGAGAGAAAGGGGGTAGATAAGGATTAAAAAGGGGTAGACGTAACTCGTGGTAGATAATATGTGTCCCATCTTGGCACTTCTTGTTCCCATAGACCCTTGGGCTCCTCCTCAAATATTTCTTCTTCCTATGATTCCCAGGGTGCCCACCAAACCAATGAAAAGAGCTGAGGTAGTCATTGTACAAGCCAAGGAGAGGAAATATAGGAGGAGCCCTATATGATAAAAACTTCCCTCTGGAGAACTCATCGGACTCTTCATTGGGATGGAGTGTCTTGCTTACTTACTTCCTTTCACAGCTTTATTGGACTTCCAAATAAACTTATTCTGTTTAAACACTTTCCTTCCTTTTAACTCTTTAATGAGACAGGGAGTCTGTTTCTCAGAACTATCAGCTGCATTTAAAAAATGTCATTCTGTAAAGAGAAGAATCTGGAAGGAGAGAGAAGTCTTAGGTAGCAGGTGGGTTTAACTGGGGATTTCTCTACCCTGGCTCCATTATTTCTGGTGAATGGTATTTTGTTTGTTAGAGGGAGGGGATGGTTTCCTGCAGGATACAAAGCAACATTCCTGACCTTTCCATGCTAAATGCCAGTGGCACCCTGCTCTAATCATGACAACCCTTACTGTCTTTAGGAACTTCCACATTCCCTTGGGAACAAAATTGCTCCCTAACTAGACCACTGGTTGCAAAAGGGATTTGGTGTTTGGTGCCAGTGTGAGACAGATTTGATAGGTTTGAGGAAGGTTTTGAGAAAAGAATAAATAGGATGTAATTTCCTTTGCCTTGGTGTTTTTGCTTGATACTCTGGACACTTCCCTAAAGGACAAAGCTGTGTGTACACACAGTGGAGTGACCCCAGGGGAGCACCGAGGATGTGCTTCTCACTCTGTTATCCTCCAGGCTCTGTCCTGACTGGGGAACACCTGCTACAGTGGACATGGTATTTAATCTCTACATCTGCATTTGTTTGTTAAAGTCCTTCTGCTAACAGCCCTATTCAGCTATCAGAGCAGGCACTTTGGAATCTAATCTGATCAGTTTTCTGGTTCTGGAAATCTGTTTGTCAGAGCAAGATTTCACAGTTGCACTGGCTTTTCCCAGGGGGTATGCCTGGGAGAATTAGCTTTGTCTACAGAAGTAAATGTAAGTGATTTCCAAACAACATACAGCGACAGTTCTGCATTCCGTGGCCCTAGTGACACCCAGAACAGTTGTTAAGAAACAGCTGGAGTGTGTGGGTTTCTGAACTGAGTATTTAGTATCTGGCTAGGATCCAGTACAAGACTAGGGTTCCTCCCTATCAGACACTCTCAGCATCATGACCTTTCACCTGGAGATAGTACACTGATTTTATATCCTTCTCAGGATTGATGGTGACTTTCTGGAGCCATCTTCAGAGGGAATCTGGTGTTGAGCCTAGACTCAGTGGGACAGAGTGTTACAATTGATTAGTGATGTCTGATTGGGTAGTAGAACAAAAGAGATGGTAGCATAATGTTTGTAATCCCTATCAGAACACATGCTTTTTTAAATCCATGTTCTCCTGGGTTGTGCCTTCTTGTACCATACCCCATGTCTTTGCTGACATTGTTCTCTGGACCCGAAGGGCTCTTGCTTTTCATCCCCAAGTATTTCTCAAACTTCTCTGGAAATTTTACTTTTTTCCTGGACTCTTTCTTTCCCTTCCTCCCTTTTTCCCTCCCTCCCCCCTTCTCCCACCCACTCTTTCTTTCTTTCATCATGGGGCTTGAACTCAGGACCTGGACACTGTCACTGAGCTAGTGCTCTACCACTTGTCCTATAGTGCCACTTCTGGTTTTCGGGTGGTTAACTGGAGATAAGAGTCTCATGAACTTTCCTGCCTGTGCTGGCTTTGAACTGTGGTCCTCAGCTCTTAGCCTCCTGAGTAGTTAGGATTATAGGTGTGAGCTGCTAGCACCTGGCTCTGAAATCTTTCTTGATTCCTCAAATTTCTCTAAAGAGCACTGTTAGCCATTCAGTGATTTCTGAAGTATCATGATGGATTTTTTTTTTTTTCTGGGTCCGGTCTTGGGGCCTGAACTCTGGGCCTGGGCGCTGTCCCTCAGCTCTTCAGTTCAAGGCTAGCACTCTACCACTCGAGCCACAGCACCACTTCCGGCTTTTTTCTTTTTGCTTATGTGGTGCTGAGGAATCGACCCAGGGCCTCATGCATGCAAGGCAAGTGCTCTACCACTGAGCCACCTTCCCAGCCCCTCATGATGGATTGTTATTCATAGAGATCCTCTGGCCACAGAAGAGATTATGTATTGGAGAGGGCAAGAAGCGGGGCAGGCAGAAAGGCCAAGTTGGGAGGGAGGTTGTTGCAGGAAGTCAGAGAGAATGGTTGCTTGGACTATGGTTGTGACTTAAGGTGAGGAAGACTTGGGGTTGCTTATCTGTAGCAGTGATGGGGTGAGGAATGGACAAGGAAATTCCTAGGATTCTGATGTGGGTATTTGGGCAGAGTGGGGCCCTTTGCTGTAGCTTATCTTCTGGAGTTTTCCAGTGAGCTATGAGAGGGGATAATAGATTAACTATGTTAATCTATTACATTGTGGCAGATGGTGTATAAGGGAACCGCTATATGCAGCTTGCCTCATGGTGGTATCCATTCCTGTTGGTGAATGCCTGCTTCTTCCAGTTCTAAAATGTTTTCAGCATCACCCCAATAGTGACATCACCAGACAGCAGAGTTGGACACTTGTCTGTACTTGGAGAAGCCAGGGAGACCGCCAGAGGGAAGGCAACAGAGAATTGCTTGCTTGCAGATTGTATATGGATCTGCTAGGTGACAGATAGAAGGCATTTAGGGGAAGTGAAGCACCCACAGAAATCACAGTGTCATTGAGCGGGCGGTATGGATCAAGTGGTAGAGACCTTGCATGAAAGAAGGTGCAGTAAGAAATCTGGAGTGTTGAGATCTAGAGGTACTTCCTGTTGCTAATGCTTGTGGAAGAGCATAATGGGCCTTTCTCTCTAGGTGCTCCAGGCACATCTAATAAAGGCCATATTTTTAATGCAGCTGTGGCAGTGTAGGCACATGTGACTTTCCGGCCTGAAGGAAGGACCTCCAACTTTGTGTCCTCCAGACCTAGCACAAATGGTTGGTCATTTGTGCTGGGTGAATAAATGCTCACTGAATGAATGGGGAGTAGGGGTGGAGGAGGGCTCTGGAGCTGCTGTTTGCTGAGGGGCTGGTCTTTTTCTCCTTTCTCCTAGCTGATTTTATATTCCCTCCTCCCTTATCTCCCAGCTATTGACTCACTGACAATGATGGATCAGGTGAGTTGGATGAGTTTCCGACCCTCTTCTGCCTACCATCATTCCATTCTTCTCTGTTTGCTTTGCTTTCTTATGGTGGATTGGTGTAGGGGCCTTGGCACTTTATAATTATTCAGGGAAGTTGAACCTGAACCTTGGGCTTCGTTCTAAACCTCTAGTAACTCTTGGCAGGTGATGTATTAGCCCAGCTAGCCTCCTGGGGGTTATAAGGCCTGAGTTCAAGTTTCATCTTGGCCTTTCCTATTCACACAACTTCAGACAGGTCAGTTTGTTGGCCTGGGGCATCCTATTTCCTAGAGTAAAATGATCTCTCAGTATTGTTGCCAACTTGGCCTAAGTCCAAGGACGCTGGGATTGTAGGGACTGTGAATCTGAGGTCGGGAAGGCTCCTGCAGTTCTTGCTAACAGAGATATTGAGAGTCCAGTGCACATTTTTATCCATAACTTTAATTTTCAGCTGTTAACAGCTGGTTAGAAAAGAACTTTTGGGTTTTTATAGTCAATCTCTTTGAGCATCGATTTCCTGTTTGCCCTGTATTCTTCCCAGTTTAGTGTCTCAAAATCTGTAGCAGACAGGTGGGACAGTTCATCAGCCGGGTGCGGCAGAGGGGGAAGGCCCAGAGACCTAGTGGAAGGTCATGCGTGGCCTTTCCAGCTTGGTGGAGAGTTAAGCCCTGGTTGCTATTGCTGTGCCTTTTGACCGCCCTGCTCCCCTATCTCCTAACAGAGAGCCAGCTGCTCCCTGGGAACAACTTCACCAATGAGTGCAACATTCCCGGCAGATTCATGTGCAGCAATGGGCGCTGCATCCCAGGTACCTGGCAATGCGATGGGCTGCCCGACTGCTTCGACAAGAGCGACGAGAAGGAGTGCCGTGAGTGACCAGCCCATAGTTGTGGTTTGGGGGCGGATGAGGAGGGTGATATCCTGGGCCCAGGAGAAGAGGCTCAGATCTGGGTTAGGTTGTTGTGATGGTTCTCCATCCGCAAGGAACCAACCTAGCAGTGGACCCAGGGCTGCCTGACCCAAAGCCCATGCTGGTGACAGTCTTACAGTAACCAGTGGAGTTACTTGATGTGGCCAGAATCCAGCTCGGAGTGGAGACTGAACCAATGTGCGTTGCTTCCCCTTGTCCTTTGCTGATAGATGTACTCTGGACCTTCTTGGGGTTGCTCCCTTCATATGGGCACCACCAGGTTGTGATGGTCCTTGGTGTTTCCTGCCTTATTGCCTCATTCAGCCTCCTTGGACCTGTTTGTACATGTAAAACACGAAGGAGTTCTGAGTTGAGGATCAGCTGCAAGAAAGGAGGGAGGCATCTGGGATGTGAGTTGGTTTCCAGGTGTCCATTGATCATGCTTCATGACTCTGAGTTCATTTGCTGCCTCCTCCTCCTCCTCCTCTTCCTCCTGCTTCCTCCCCCTCTTCTTCTCTGCAGAGGGGGCTTGGCCTGGGTCTTTCCTTTGGCTCCCCAACAGGTAAAAGCACCAGGAGGGAAGGCACAGGCTTGCCTGAAGGGCCACTGCCTTGGGACCACATACCTTCACTCTTTCATGAGCTTAGGGAACCAATCCATGTGGCCTCTCTGTCAGGAGGACTCTGTGTTCTGGCTCTGAATCTGCAATCTCTCTTGAAGCCAGCAGAGGAAATGGCTGAGGATAGGATAATGACTTGAACTTTTGGCATAGCTCTTACTGGGATTTAAAGTCCAGACTGTTGACGCACAGGAAGGAGCGCTGGATTTGTAGGCCACCACGAGGCCATCCAGGGAGCCAGATGCCCCCTTGCTTTTCAGTGTACTGATAAAGGTGGCCACTGAGACCGGGCCCCTCACCTGGCCCAAATATCCTCCAGGCCTGCTCCTGTTCTTCAGAAAAGTTGTGGAGAGAGAAAATTGGGAATGAAGGGGAGGGGAGACTATTTCATTTGTCCAGTGTATGTGTGATTTTTCTAAAATGGAACGTTAGACATAATGCTTTTTTTTTCTTCTGTGTTTTTCCCCCAAATTGCCTTTGAAAAGTGTTATATCTATTTCAACTTTTTTCTGTTATTTTTTTTTTTCATGGCTTCAAAGCTGTTAGAAATGTAACACTGGTAATTTGAGTTTCAAGGGAGATAGCATGTATGAGTTCCATCATTTGTCTGGTCCTAAGGATTATTAAACACAACACAGATGTGGAATTGTTTTGTTTGGTTGATGATATTGTTTTTACTCTGAACTCACTGTGAATATTAGACCTGTGAGAAGTTTGTGAAGGAGTTCAGGATGAGGAGGAAGACTCCGTTTTACTGTCGGCTCCATTAGTGGCACCCATGTGTGTTTTGTTATTTCTGTGGCATTCTGTGTCCCCCTCAGGCAGTGCATTCCCATGATTTTGGAATTCATGCTCATATAGAAGATGTGATAGGGAATGGTGAAAAAGGTTGGTGCTAGCAGCTTCTGGGCGCTGTTTGGTTTGGTTTGGAGTAGGCTCATTCTTGACTATCCAGAATTCTGCCCTTCACCCTAGAGACTTGACTGGCATTCATTTTGTCTTGATCAAAACATAATTAAAATTTTAACCTTTCTTCTGTCCCCCCCTTTTATTTTTGGCTTTAAATTGCAGAGTTAGACAACAAAGGGAAGTGAGTTTCTTTTCTAATAGAAATGATACTTTGATTTTAAATTTCTTGCCTACTCCCTTCCTGTTTAGGAGTTGAGTGTGAGCTTTGGAGAAAGGCTGTCTGTACTCAAATCGGAGTCCTTTTTCCCTCCATAGGGGACTAGGCTATCTCGGGAAAGTTTCTAGAATGTTCTAAACTTTAGCTATTGGGACGAATAAATAAAGTTCTTTTTCCCGGAATAAATAAAGTTCTTTTTCCTATTTTTTGGGGGGAGGGTAGAGAGGAGGGATGGGGTCCTTGGCCCTGGGGCTTGAACTCAGGGCTGGCACTGTCCCTGAACCTTTTTTTTTTTTTTCCCTCAAGGCTAGCACTCTACCATTTGAGCCACAGCTCTATTTCCCGATGTTTTGGTGGTTAATTGGGGATAAAGAGTCTCATTGACTTTCCTACCCCGGCTGGCTTCCAAGTGTGATCCTCAGTGCTCCATCTACTAAGAATGAGCCACTGGTAATCAGCAAGAGATTCTCCTAGTGCCTCAATCTCTTCTCCAAAATGGGAGTGATAAGGCTTCTTCTAATCCTAAGTGTCACAGTGAGGTTTTAATGTGTGTACATAAGGCATTCACCATAAAGCCTGCACACTACCCGTGACTTGTTAGCCTATACTGTCTACACAAACCACGATCGAGTCACCTGCCTTTTCTGCTTCACAGTAGAGGCCCTTGGCATCTTCACCATGCTTTCTATTTGCAAATTTTTTTTTTTAGTGAAGTTGACTCAGTTGACAAGGGCCACCAAATATGTGCATTATAACTTACTGTTTAAATCACCTTTGCTTTTTAAATTATTGTATTGTAAAGGTGATATACAGAGGGGTTACGGTTATTTAAGTCAGGTAATGAGTACATTTCTTATCAAACAGTGTCACCTCCTCCCTCATTTTCTCCCACTTTTTCTCCTCCCTCCCCCCCAAGTTGTATAGTTCATTTCTGACATAGTGTCTGGTGAGTATCACTGCTGCATTTGTTCACCCCTTGTTCCACCATTTCAGTGTTTCCTCTTCCCCTCCCCAAATCAGGTAAACTTGTATAGGAGATGCAGGGTACAGAGATCAAAAACAGTGATACAAGGAAAAAGAAAAACAAGCAAACAAACAAAAAGAACCACAAACACTACAATAAAATAAACCCTCTAGTTTTTTTTTTTCTTAAACTTATGCTGCTGAAGATACTTGGGACCACTTGAGTAGTCTAGATAGCAGAAAGACATGATGGCTTTAGCTTGAGCCAGAGTGGAAAGCCCGAGGTTGCATCTCTTCAGGACACCCAGGGAGCAGCTGATCAATAATCGATGCCACTTTCTTCCCCTGCCTTCTGCAAGTCACAAAGCCCTTTGTCAAATTCTCTGGCACATCTGGGTGTTTAGGAGAGGACAGGGAAGCATCTGATGTCCTTGCAGAGATGAGGGCCTCCAATGCTGACTGATACTTTGCCCCTGACAAGATAATATGCAGAGCGAGAGACAGAGGGAGAGAGGTATCTTGGGGTGGGACATAGCCAGTGAGTAGCTCTTTGTATCCACAGCAGAGGCCAGTAAGAAATTTTATCATAAAGGTAATGAAATCACGTCGTGTAAAAACCGAGGACAGGGAGAGGAGAAAAGACAAAAGAATCATAGAGAATCCATGCTGTAGTAGACCCAGCTGTCTTGGAAGGTTTCATTCAGGTGCCTTTCTGTTTTAATCGCCGTGAATGTTCTGTTTTGCATTTCTAGCTTTTCTATGTAGCATTGTGCCAAGTCATCATTTTCTTTTTGCATCTTTTTCTTTCACCATTTGAATGCCTACATATGAATCCTTTTTTTTGGTATTTATTATAAAGTAGCTTACTTAAGTTATTGCTTATTATTTCTCATTACTTTTTATTTATGTATATCTTTTTGCTGTGCTGGAACTCTGGTTTTCCTACTTAACTAGGCAAGCTCTGTATCCCTGAGCTACACCCCCTCCCCTGCCCCAGGCCCAGCATTAATGGCTTCCATTTTTCCACTCTTGGACATAGTGTACACTGTTGTGAACATGAGGGTGGGTATGACTTTGCTCCTGTTTTGAGAAATTTCTTTAGACTGGAATTCTCAGAAATGAAATGAAACAGCCAGGCTGGGGAGTGGAAGCTTTTTCTGGCTCTACAGACAGACTGCCCGCTTGTTTGCTAAAGGTCTGCACTCCTTTGCTTGCGCTGGCAATGCCTGAAAACTAGGACTTTATTTTTGTCTTGGCAAGCATTGAGTAATCTCTTTTAAAAACATATTTTGGGGCTAATTTAATAGTTGAAAACAGTTAATGTATATAAGATCTTTTTTTTTTTAAATTGAGGTTGAATGTTTTCCCATACCTCCATTTACTAGTTATTGTTCCTTGTGAAATATCTATTAGTGGGCTATTGTTAATTTCCATCTGGGCTGATGCTTTACATTCTTTGCTCTGTGTCTCTGGGGAACAACCTCATATCGTTTTGAGAAGAGGCTCAATTGGGGAAACTTTGAGTGTATTTTTGTTCTTGGTTGGTAGATTGCCCTGAGTGATCTTTCTTTCCAAATTCCCTTCCCTTCCCTTCCCTTCCCTTCCCTTCCCTTCCCTTCTTTTCCCTTCCCTCCCCTCCACTCCCCTCTCCATCCCTTCCCTCCCCTCCCCTACTCTTAAAAGGAACTGAGGTATATTTTAGGAAAGCATAGCTGCTCTCTGAAAGGCCTGATTGTGTGGGAGTCCTTGTGTGGACTTACTTTAAATCCTCTGGGCCACACTGTCCTGGGCATGTCCCATTTTATTAACTCATTGGATAGTCACAAAAGTTTTATTGGGAAGGAACTGGCCTCCTTTCCAGATGAGGAAGCTGAGCCACAGAGGGATTAGGATTATACAAAGCTTGTCTCTGAGCCCAGAAGGTTCTGAGTCCCTCTTCCTCTAGCAGAAAATGCTAGGGGTCTTAGAGTCTTTCTGAAAGGTTTAAGTCTTCATCAGAGAACTCCAGGACAGGGTGTGGGGTGGGGGGAGGGGGGTGTCTTTGAGTATTTCTCTACCAGCATCTGTTACTCTGCTGAGTAGCTTCCTGTGGATTGTATGTTGTCATTGATGTATTATCATGACTGTGATCATTGCTATAATGAATACCTGAAATAATCAACTTAGAGGAAAAGTTTATTTTGAGTCACAGTTTTAGAGGCATTAAGTGGAAGCTCTGGTGCTTAGGGCATGTCTTGAGATAGCATATCA